TTTTTCGACCCCCATTAGACCCCTAGGGTGAAAATGAAAATTCCGAAACCTTACTGCACATCTGCAGGACACCACTAACCATCTCCCAAAAGATGATTAGGCTACTGTGTAAAATGTAAGAGGAGTTCAGGGAACCAGGGGCTTTTTGCATAAAAAATGTCATTTTTCGACCCCATTTGACCCGTAGGGTGAAAATGAAAATTCCAAAACCTTACTGCACATGTACATGACACCACCAACCATCTCCCAAAAGATGATTAGGCTACTGTGTAAAATGTAAGAGGAGTTCAGGGAACCAGGGGCTTTTTGCATAAAAAATGTCATTTTTCGACCCCCATTTGACCCCCAGGGTGAAAATGAAAATTCCAAAACCTTACTGCACATGTACATGACACCACCAACCATCTCCCAAAAGATGATTAGGCTACTGTGTAAAATGTAAGAGGAGTTCAGGGAACCAGGGGCTTTTTGCATAAAAAATGTCATTTTTCGACCCCCATTTGACCCGCAGGGTGAAAATGAAAATTCCAAAACCTTACTGCACATGTACATGACACCACCAACCATCTCCCAAAAGATGATTAGGCTACTGTGTAAAATGTAAGAGGAGTTCAGGGAACCAGAGGCTTTTTGCATAAAAAACGTCATTTTTCGACCCCCATTAGACCCCCAGGGTGAAAATGAAAATTCCGAAACCTTACTGCACATCTGCAGGACACCACTAACCATCTCCCAAAAGATGATTAGGCTACTGTGTAAAATGTAAGAGGAGTTCAGGGAACCAGGGGCTTTTTGCATAAAAAATGTCATTTTTCGACCCCCATTTGACCCCCAGGGTGAAAATGAAAATTCCAAAACCTTACTGCACATGTACATGACACCACCAACCATCTCCCAAAAGATGATTAGGCTACTGTGTAAAATGTAAGAGGAGTTCAGGGAACCAGGGGCTTTTTGCATAAAAAACGTCATTTTTCGACCCCCATTTGACCCGCAGGGTGAACATGAAAATTCCGAAACTTTACTGCACATCTACATGACACCACCAAACATTTCCCAAAAGATGATTAGGCTACTGTGTAAAATGTAAGAGGAGTTTGAGAAATAAGAGTGTGACAGACGGACGGACAGACATGAGTAACAACAATATACCCGAACTTTCTTTAGAAAGTGCGGGTATAACAAAAGTTATGACAGTCCATATTTAAAGCTTAATACTTTGAATATTATCAGGAAAGTCTTTATTTTCAACATGAAGCATTATTTTTTACTTCACAGATCTCCAAAAAATATTGAAATTTCAAAATGTCACAAAAAGGTGTTGCACTCCTGACAATTTTAGCATCATTTTTGGGCATAACTTTTTTGTTAATTGAGATATCAACGAGATATTTGGCAGGTATTTAGACACTATCTAAAGACATATGCTGAGACATAGAAATCTATTTCCATTGCCTGTATTTTTAGTGTGGGTTGATAAATATGCGTTTGGTCATTTTTTTTTAATTCACCCTCAAAACAAATTCAAAACATAAGAAAAATACAGATAACATAAAAAAGCGGAGCTGGAGAGATTGAGGCGGCTTAAAATAAATTGAAGCTATTAAATGAACATGTACTTTTCAAGGCGTCTTAAAAGAAACTGACAAGAGACGCTCTCTTAACGACCCAGACCAGATTTTTCCCGCGTACGATTTTGAGATATTTAACAAAATGTATCAGTTGAATTTGTCTCTCTAGGATAACGCAAGCGCGATAACTCTTTCTATAATATACTGAGTGCATTCCAATGTCCATGAGATCTTCTAAGTAAAATTAACTTAAAATTCATTTTATTTTCAGATTATAAATTATTAATTTTATAAGGTCACTGGTCTGAAAAAAAAATTAGAATGGTCGACCGGAGAGCTAAAGTGCCACTCATTGAAAAAAGTGTATATTGTGAACAAAAAAGTGCGCAGTTTCTTGATTAATTTTTCTTTGAATATATCAAAATATTACTAACCATGTGTTCCTAACATATTCTTTTACTACTCCCACAACAAAACCGTATATACAAGTCATGCAAAGCACGTTGGACCGAACTGTCTTGTCAACCCAAATGGCCGTATAAATAGGCGAAATTTTGGTTGATCTCAATTTCAGGCCCAGGAGGACTATAAAAACGTTTTTTTGGAAATCAATGTTTTGTAGTGGAAGTGAGTTGCAGACAGACATCCTGATCATCAAAAAATGGTCTACGGTATTCAGAAATACTACAGTTTTGTCTTTCTTCAGCTGGTCACATTGCGTCGCACAATAAATTGTATTCGTTTCGCATATCTAATTCTGTGTTCTTCACTCTGTTACAAGCCCGTTTTTTGCCTAATTATGAAAAGATAATTTTTTCTCCAACAGAAAAATTAGACTGTCTCGGATTTACAGGAAGGTGTTTTACAGGTATAAGATTCAAAATATTCTAGACAGGATAAAGATTATTCTTTTAAAGCAGAATACAGCTAGCAATGTTGCATCAGTTTTAGGTAAGATCATTTAACTCATTCCACCATTTGGTTATGTATGCCAGATGATGTCAAGGCATTTGTAGCAGTATGTCAGAGGATTATTTGCGCTTTACATTTAAGAGTCGGAAAAGAATTCGAGTTTTTGTTATAGAATTACAGACTATTACAGAATTTCTTTGTAATTCATTAAAAATACAAGAACGAATTATTTTTTATGTCCCCGTAATCGAAGATTCGGGGGCATATAGTTCTTGCCCTGTCCGTCTGTCTGTTTGTCCTCAAAATCTTTAACCTTGCCCATAACTTTTAATCGGTTGAAGCTATGACATTCATATTTCACAAGTGTATTCCTTGTGACAAGACCTTTCTTTTTGGTACCATCATATTTAACCTTTTGACCTTGGAGTTTGACTCACTTTTGCAAAATTTTATGAGACTTAACCTTGGCCATAACTTTTGAATAGTTGGGGCTTGGGCTTTCAAACTTCACATGTGTATTTCTTGTGACAATACCTTCCTTTGGATACCAACAACTCAGACCCTTTGACCTTGGAGTTTGATCTACTTTTGAAAAAAAAAAAACTTTAAACTTAAAAGTTGGTGCTAAAGCTTTTGAACCTCACATGTTTATTTGCTGTAACATGACCTTCTTTTGGATACCAACAACTTTGACCTTGGAGTTTGACCTTTAATTTTGAAAAATTTTAACCTTGACCATTAAATTTGAACAGTGCAAGGGTTTTTTTACTTCACATGTTTATTCCTTGTAACAAGTCCTTCCTTGAATTTTAACAACTTTGATCTTGACCCTGTAGTTTGATTTACTTTTGAAAAACTTTAACCTAGGCCATAACTTTTAAACAGTTGGTGCTTGCTTTCATACTTCACATGCATATCCCTTGTAACAAGACCTTCCTTTGGATACCACTAATTCTGGCACTGTCCTTGACCTTGGATTTTGACCTACATGTACTTTTAAAAAACTTTAACCTTGGCCATAACATTTAAACTTTTGTTTCTAGGGCTTTCACATTTCAAGAACATCTGTATCATTTGTGACAAGACCTTCCCTTGGGCACCATTTGACCTTTACCTTGACGTTTTACTTACTTTTAAAAAACTTTAACCTTCGCCATAACTTTTCAACGGTTGGTGCTAGGGCTTTCATATTTTACAGGTATATTCCTCGAGACAAGACCTTTCTTTGGGTACCAACATTTTTTATCTCTTTACCTGGTGTTTAATTGCATTTAAGAAACCTAAACCTTTCTCTATAAGCTGCCATACGGGGGCATCAGTGTTTCACAAACACATCTTATTTTAAATGCAAGTGCAGAGTTTCTGCAAGAGGAAATTTTAGAGGTTGTACATACATGTTTTCAGAAAACGAATATATGAAAAGTTTCACCTGGAGAGAACTGAAATCAAGTTTATTTTAGAAAGTTTAAAAAATCATGTAAAATGGTAAATTTGTTAAAATTTACATCAACAATCAAAATGTGATTCACGTTTCTCGAGTAGGTAGCATGATTCATATGAATTAGCTGAAAACATTTACCGGTATGAAAGGACGATAATCGGTAATGACCAATATCTGCGCCCAAAATAAAACTTTGATGGAGAGATCTATCATTATGTTCCAAACCAGGGGGCTATCTGCAGAGTTGAGAGCATTACCTACTTTCAGCAGCCATGACGTCATATGTTAGATATGACGTCAAGAAAACGTTAATTCAATTTTCAATGATTTTGAGTGAAAAATGTGTATTTTACGTCGATATTTTTATTAAAAGTCATCGAGCGCAGAACTGCCCCAGCTCTATCTTTTGATATAATGTGTAGAATTAAATGTCAATCAAGTATGTGAATACTGTTCTGGATCAAACTTGAACTCAGTAAATTAAAAACTCAAATTGAACAAATTTTGGCCATTTTGTCCTTCATGTTGAAAAAAAACCCCGGAAAATTCAAAAACTTTGTGATGTTACAGAAACAAGCATTGACGATAATATACTTCCAAACTACAAAGAGTTTTGTCAATTAAGAATTTTCAAACAATATGTACAATTATGTGCATTTCTAGAGATTTTCAATTTGCCTTTTATGGGGACAGAAATATGCTTTCACCACATCTAGTTCTTTTCATTAGATCCAAGAACAGAAAACGTTCAAGCAAATTATTTTCGCAAAATCTCTGCGAATATATTTTTCAATTGTGCTGACAATAAAAATTAAAAGAGTAAAACAGTTCAAGGTTTTATGTTTCATATAGATATGGTTTTGGTTATAATAATGTAATGAATTAATATAGTTATATAATGCAATGCAAAATAAAAGGTTATAGCGAGTACCACTCCTACAAATGAGTTCTTTCATATTCTTCTTATACTTAGAATATAACTGTTTTATATTCGAATGAACGTAATGAGGGAGAAATACATGAGATATAGATTACAACCCAAACATTTTATGCATGTAAAAGAGATTAATTCTTACCTGCATGTACTTTTCTCTCTAAAAATATATGTGTGATACGATCAAGTTGTCTCCACACATGCGCATTCAATTCAAAATCAAATGTATCCTCGATTTTTTCCTTTTTCTTGTCATGTTCTTGTGTATTTAGCTTTTTCTGCAAAGCCTGAACGTAGGCAAAGTGACTGAAGAGAATTGCTATAAAAAGATTTATCCCAATTATTGATATAGTAAAGAAAAACAGGCTTGTAAAAACCTTTCCTTCTGCCGAGTTTAAACTGGGATTTAAACGAAAGGAAATCATTGCAAGTAACATCCGAAGAAGAGTAATAATGGATGAGTATAAATCCTTAAAGTTGTCAGCATATCTTCCAAATGAAAGGTAAAAATAGGCTCCAAATGAAACGATAGCCAGTGATATTAAGAATATAGACATGAAAAGATCATATCTGGCCCTTAAAAGGGATTTTTGCAAGATGAAGAAATGGTAGTTCATCGTCAGCGGTTGAAGAAGTTCAAGAACTCCGAAAAAGAAAACTATTCCAAACGCTGTTTTGTATAACAAGTCGTATATCTGGACATACTCAAAGGACACGTATGACCCTGAGAAAAAAAATGAAAATACATTTAATTAGTATTGTTGATAGATACAAAACGTTGAGTTTAATGTTTATTGTCTAAGACACCTTACCTTTGTTTTCAATTATGTCATCCACCGTTTTTATTGTTGAATCTACTCGTAAAATATAGAACACTATCGCGTTAAGACACATTAATATGTCAATTGCTGTGACCCAAGAAGAAAAAGTAGTCATACAGGTATGTCTTGTTTTGAAAACACGTATAGTAAAGAACACAAGTCGTACAATTACAACTATCATGAAGATGAACTGACAAGCCAACACAATATAATCCATACTTGTGACGTAAGGATAGAGATTCAGAGATTTAGCAGTTGTTTTCATATAAATGGAACCATATTCAGATAGCTCAAACACTATTTTCAAATGTGTAAACAATCTAGTGTTCGCGTTAAATGTATTGGTTTCGATGAATACCGCTCGTGTATAGCCGTCTATCCAAGAAAAGTTACGAAGTTGATTGATGTAATGATTCACTAACGACTGTTTTGGTCCTAAATCTATCTTGTAACCTCCACCACCGTAGACGCCAAAATCTCCTATATACATCATTGACTTCAATTCCTCTGCTGTACGGTATACGAAGCTGTTGTCAATGGGATCATATTCATCATAGCAAGTTTCATTAACGTATATTGATGGTAACCATCCTTAAAATAAAATGGAATCCATTTCCATATGTTAAATGCAATTTCTTATCAAAGTATTTATATCCATATTACAGAAGAATTTAATGACTTTAGATATACCTTTACAATAAAATGTTCTGTCTTCTTCTTCAGTCTTAAAATCGTCGATACATCGTGGGGCTGCGCTTGTCATTTCCTCAATCGTAGAGCAGTTCCCTGTAATAATGATTAGATTCTACAAATGCACAATACACTAGTTTTATGTCATCTCAATCGTTGAGGAGTTCTCTTTAATATTTTTGTTAATAATTACAGACGCAGAGTACACTAGAGCTTCCTACAGGTACCAATTCCGTTGGATATATTTAAATAAATATATTACATTTTTAACAGGAGGCCCAAGGGCCTTAACGGGCACCTGAGTATAATACAACAATATGTTAAGGATCCATTGAAGTATGAAATAAAATAAATTGATAGATATAGCCACATGTATGTTGCCCAAAAGAAAGAAAAGATGATCAGAGATCATGAAAATAATAGTACTCCGTAACAAATCTTAGATAGGTCTACTTCTCCCCATTTGTCACTTTTATCATGCAAACTAAACAAAACAAAAGTGCCTAAGCACTGTTGCTATTGCCATCTCATTCACATTGGCCTCTCATGGTCTTTTTATTAAGACAAGTTATTTTTATCACATTTTTATTTATTATCTATAAGTTTATCTGACTATTAAAACTATGAAAGTACTTCTTGTATTGTACAAAAAATTCTTGTATAATTCTCTTATTCAATTGACATTTCAATACAGCCCAACCTAACACACAAACCCCTGAACCAGAGGCCAGAAAATGCAACATTTTAGAAAAGCACCCTTACTCATCATAACTTTTCACTTTTTATGTTTGCTTAGTACTAAGAAATAATGCATTTTCACTTTATGATTTATAGAGCCCCCCCCCCCCCCCCCCCCGCACAACCCCTGATACCGAGGCCACAAATTTCACAATTTTGGAAGAAGCATTCTTGTTCATCTTAATAATGCACTTAGTTTATCTACTAAATACAAGGAGCAGAGAAGAAGATTTTCAAGGAATTCATACATTTTCAATATGCAATAGAGTCCCGTCCTTTCACCAGAATCCCTGATCCAGATGTCATTTGTGAGACAGTTTCAATCTGCTTCACACTCGTGAAAATATAAAAAAAATCCTATCCCGCTAGTGAAATAAATTTTATATCCAACAACAAAACATTGACTATTCTCAATATACATTTACCTGATAGTTTTGCTCTTACCTGATCTGACTTGTCTTAAAATGGAATGTGAGATCCTATAGCTATACTGGTCATACATAAATCTTTGCTCATATGCAGACCGCAGAGCCTGGTTCCCATACCACTTTGGCCACACGTTTGGAATAAAATAAGTTTGCATCCAAACATATATGTCATCTGTAGTGTTTGCCTAAAACATTTATCATACAGTTCTATCTTTTTCATCAATTTAATTTGTGTACACTGCGAATTAATTACATACAATTGAGATAAGCATCTCTATAGGCATTACACACTTAATTTTGTCCTGCGTCTGTCCGTCCGTCTGGCCATCGGTCACACCTTATATCTTGAGAACTATTTAAGATAGGGAATTGATATTTGGCTCATGTATAACTCGAAGAATGGCTTAAAAAATTTGTAAAATAACAGGTTACTGACCATGTGACCTTTGAACTATTTTGTTAACCTACACATAGTGCTATACTGTTTACTTTTTAGAGATAGGTTTGAGCTACAGGTATTTGGCAAGAAAAAAAGAAATTTGGAGATAACGAACAATATTCAAGCTCAAAGTCCATATAAAAAATACAAATCGGGAGCAGCCTCCAAAACATCAGATGTGGGATGAGGTGCCATGGAGAAGTGAGCATCTCCAGCCGACCGGTCACACCTACCCGGTGCTCATCGTAAATGTTAAAAAATGCTCAAACACTTCGGAAGATGTAAAAAATGACGACAGCGAGCGACAATTAATGCGGCGCACAAATTATCATGCAGTGCTGTGCACGTGTTAAGCGGAGTGTGTCTCCTACCTATACGGAAAAAATTAAATGATCGAACTTCGGGAACACTTCTCGGACACTGGTTTATACCTGGCAAAAGAGGTGCAAGGTAGTTGTACTGATATTTACAAGAGGCGTTTAGTTTAGGTTTATAATCGGGATTTTGAAATCGTCTATTAAAAAATTAATTATATTGTTACATGTAGTTCTAGTAGTATCTTTGAGATAGATAAATCGCTAACTAACAGAAAATCAAATGCAATGTCGATTTTATGTTTGATTAAAGACGCACAATTCCCGAACAAATATAAATATGATGCATACCAATTTTTAACATCAGAAGTGAAAAAATTGAAAATGTTCGCGTTTTTCTGGGACAATTCTTGTATCTAAGATACAAAATTCGTAGCAGCATAAATTTTTAAACCTATTGTACACCTAGTTCCATGTAGACGCTATAAGAAATTGTCATGATTTTATTTATTTTTTGCGTTCTTTATAAGGTATCTCTTTCAACTTATCTTGATTTTAATCTACAGATTAAGGGAAGATAAACGTTGAATTATTAAGGATAATTTCCTTACTGATAGCTCTGTTTGAACAATCATACACAAACACACACCGACACAAGTATTCTTACCAAAAATGTATCTTTGACCGATCCTTTCATATACTCATTCTGTCTGAAGGCTTCTGTAATAGTATTGTGTGAACACACTATTGCGAGCAGAAGAATATACAGTATAGACTTTATCCAGGATATACCAAAGGTTTTAAGTTTTTTATCCAACTGGACTAATTTCCGCTGTTTGCTCAGTTTTTCCACGTCAGGATCTGTGTTCGGGCAAGGAAAGTAAATAAGATCTTGTCGATATTTTGCATCAACATAGGATACTGAAATATAAGACATTCACATAAAAGTTGAAAAAAAACTGCAATATATAGAGCACGTAAACGTAAGAATTTATTTTAGAATGACAAATGATTAACTTAATTTCACAGGAACTTATAAAATATACACCTTTATGCACGTGATTTTCTCCAGCGCACTCCAAAAATGCGTCTGTAGAACTTTTGCAGCATAATCCAAGAAGAGAAGCAAGAAGTAGTACCTGTTGATACATTTATGGAGATTATTGTTTTATTTCTTTCTTTATTTTTACTAATAAAATTTTTCATGATATTTTATGTCAACAAATCAGATATTGAACGCGTTTTTTTCATGTAAATTTTAATCTGAAATTCTCATCAAATACAGTACCTTAAGTGGCTCCATCATAAATGCACCCTCAAAAGTTCCGAACACAAATGATAACAGCCAATCATTCGTCTTTTCCGACCCGAATTGTAGAGAATAAAGAAATGTGAAGAAACCCCCTGCAGCAATGGCAGAGATAATAATAAAATATGCGAAAAATATAGTCCACCAAGGCATTCTACACTGAGAACGCTCCTTTTCTTTAAAGACCACATTTTCTTTCCGAGTTGTTTTACTTTCACTTTTTAAGTTTCTTTTACGAAACAACGAAATAATTATAACCGAAGGTATAACCGTGATCAAAGAAGACATTAATCCAACATAAATTTGTTTTAAATTAAATCTAAAAGGACCCAGTTTGACAGACTGTTGGACATTCCCACTAGCTAACTGCTCCTCTTCTGTAGGTTCAGCGTTATACCACATAGCAGATGCAACCATTGACAAGAACAATAAAGCAACTAAGCTCCAAAGTCTTTGAACCCTGGAAAATCTACTATAGTTTGGTCGCTTTGACAGCGAAATCCAAAGGTGGTCATCAAAAAAACCTCTTAAACTTAGTTCTGTGAAAACAACTTCACCATTTATAATTTCCGGTGTTAAAGGAACAAGTTTTCGGAAAGTTTTTACATCGTCGTATTTCAAGGATAGCCATTCTCCACACAAAAACACAAAACTGGAAAGTAAACATATGAATCTATGTTGGTTCGAATCGAAAGGATAATGCTTTAATTTCGGTTGTTACTGAAACTAGTCTCAAATATTTAGTTTATTTTATAATTTCCAAATACTTTAAAATTAAATGTTTTATAAACTTGTTTTAGGGTCTTGCGTGTAAATATTTGAAAAAAAAAATACCGATCTCCGGTGTATAGATCAATAACCACAACTTTTGACAACTTCCAATCAGGACTTTTTCCCTTGTTGTCATGCCACACTGTTAAGGATTCCAATTTTCCTATATGTTCTTCAGTTGTCAAAAGAAAATTACAACATGTGCCACTTCGAAAATCCTAAAAAAAATCAATCGGAAATGAAAGGGAAAGAACGGTCTGAATATGATTTTTAATTATAATGATGAATAATTAAACATGTTTTATTTTCAATCAGAACACACTTTCTGAATCAACAAAAATTTTCAGTATTTGACGGTTGGTGATACCTCTCTGCAATTTGTTTTAATAATTCTTTCACTTGTTGATCCGTTTTCTCCTGTCAATTTTAGGTAAACCGTAGATGTCAGGTGTCTTGAAGATTTTATTGCAGTAAAGATGGACAAACAGTACTGAAATTTATCATCAGGCTGATTATCAAGGACTGGTAGGTACTCCCACTATAATGAACAAATCGCTATTCATTAAAAATGTGATGTTAGGTATGTTAATCATTTGATGCACAAGATGCGCATTTCGACAAATTATGTCTCTTCAGTGATGCTCATGCCGAAAAAAACGTTGGAAATCAGAAACATTTAAATTTTTTTAAAAAAAGTCCATGTACCTGTGCCAAACCAACATTTTTTTTAAATCCTTCTTATAACAGTTATCTTTTATTTTTATAGTACTTTTCATTACTATAAAACTAAAACCAAACATTAAAAAAAAACAACAACAACAAAAAACAAAAAAAATGCATTTCAACTTTATCTAGGTCTGTCTGCATCGACCTTAAGACACACCTTTTGCAAGATTTTCATGGTCATAATCAAATTTCTAAGAAACAAATGATAGTTGTAAACAAATTGTACAGACAGCATTCACGGTTTTTACCCTTAACCAATTTTGTTTATTCACCCAAATCATGTTCCACATCAAACTATTATCTAAAGTCCTTATATGCTCATTCTTAATTTTTTTTTCCCCAGATATATCGGATAGACATAAGAACAAAGGAAAAATACGCATCCCCTTGTTTTTGTTACAAAAAAATATTCTTAAATTTAAAGCAGATTTTGATATTTTATCAAGCACGTGATTACTTTTTTGAATACCCTAATCAATTATTGAGTTACCCATTTTGATGCGTTTAGGATAACAATGACAGTGATTTTAAGGTGCCAGTATAATAACAATAAACGTAGAGCTTCAATTTATTGCTTGGAAAAAAAAAATAACTCACCAACAGCATGTCATTGTGGTCTGCTTTACGTAAAGGTATAACAATAACAATGAAAAAAATTATCAAAAAGACCTCAGCGGCGAGCACTTGTGGAGTGGATTCTAATTTTTCCAGAAAGTTAAGGAAAATTTCTTGGAAATTAATTGGAGTAGGTAACGAGATCAGGGCATCAGACCCAAATGTTCCGAAAAAGGTACTTCTGAAAACAGATATATCCCCCTCTGCCTTTACAATCTACAATAAAAAAAATAATTTAATCTAACTGTAACGTGCTACAATGTATCACACAAATCATCCCTCTTCGAGGAGAACACAATTTGTTATCAACTTGTATATTCCAAGTAATCATAGTTTAACGGTGTCAATGGCAATGCTTTTTTCAATGCTTACATGTAGATGTGCTGGTAAAAATATGTAATGAAATAAAAGTTTGTAGTTGTAATACAACATAAATATATAATTAAGTGAAACCAATAACAAAAGGCCCTAAAGCCCTATCGAACAACTGAGCATGATACAACCCTGTAAATGATGCATAGACAGCAAATTTTGATAATTACCTGTATATAATAAAGCAAAATAAATTGATAGAGAAAGGTATGTTGTAAACAAAAGAAATAGAGCGATCAAAGATCGATAAATAGTTTGTCTTTGTTATCTGCAACAACTCTAAATGATCCATTTACACTTAAGTTATATTGGTAATCTGCCAAAGTTCCATATCATATGGATCAACCATCCAAATATAATAAAACACATGTATTGTGTGAATATTGTCATTTATCAGATGACAATTAATTAATTAAATATCATTCCATATAATGATAACGAAGACAAACTAAGGGGAGATCCAGACAATACTGTCAGCACAAGTGGCTTGTATAAAAATCCCTGAATATGACAAAGTGTTCTCCCCTTTACACAACTTTACAAACCCTTGACAAAATAAAATACAACATAAAAATTACCCCAAACTATCCAAAAATGATATTTAAATATATACAAAACAAAAAAAAGCAGCCAAAAAATATTTTATAAAATGCACAAAAACAAAATAAACAAGCATTTGATAACTAGTAGGTATTGTTTTTTTTGTTTTGTTTTGTTTTTGTTTTTTTGTTTTTTTTTTTACACATGTCTCCCCTTTTTTACCAACATTAACGAGTGCAAATATATGATCAGGGTCAAAAATGATAATGCAGCACATCTCAACTCAAATTCTGTGTACAAAATTTCAAGTCTTCATGTCAAACGGATCTGAAGTAATGGTCTGGTCGTGTTTCTCTTAATTTGACCTTGAAGACAGTGGTTAAGGTCAAATATTTTGATGCAGTGCATTTAGTCTCAATGTTGTCTTTTCATGTTCCAAGATTGAAATCCTAATGTCAAAAAGTTCTCAAGTTATGACCTCTAGTTGTGTTTTCTCTATTTGACCTTGAAGAAAGGGGTCAAGGTCAAAATTTTGATGCATTGCATCTTGTAACAATGTCTTCTTTCTATGTTACAAGTTTGAAATCCTAATATCAAAGGGTACTCAAGCTAAGGTCTGGACTCTATTTTGATGTAAAAGGTTGACCTTGTAATAATTGGATCAAGGTCAAAATTTTTGGTGGCATGCATTCCTCTTTCATACCACATTTGCATGTTCCATGTTTGAAGTCTTTATAACAAAGGATTCTTAAGTTATGGTTTAATCAAGTTTTTTCCTTATCTGACCTTGAGGAAAAAAAGAGGTCAAGGTAAATTTTGGTGTGTTGCATCTTGTATCAATGTCTTCTTTCTATGTTACAAGTTTGAAATCCTAATATCAAAGGGTGCTCAAGCTATGGCTTGGACTCTATTTTTGATGTAAAAGATTGACCTTGACCTTATACAAATTGAATCAAGGTCAAAAATTTTGCTGGCATGCATCCCTCCTTTATAGCACCTCTGCATGCTCCAAGTTTGAAGTCTTGATGTCAAGGGGTTCTCAAGTTATGGTCAGATAGTGTTTTTTTTCTCTATTTGACCTTGAAGGCAGAAAGGGGTCAAGGTCAATATTCCAATGCAGTGCATCTTGTCTCAATGTCTTCTTCCTATGTTACAAGTTTGAAGTCCTAATATCAAAGGGATCTCAAGTTAAGGACTGAATTCTATTTTGATGTAAAAGATTGACCTTGACCTTATAAATAGGTCAAGGTCAAAAATGTTGGTGGCGTGCACTACTTCTTAATGTCATCTATCTATGTTCCAAGTTTGAAGTCTTAATGTCAAAGGGTATTTAAGTAACGGCCCGGACAAAATTTGGATGGAGAAGAAAATCGACTAAAACAATATGTCTCCCCTGGAAAGGGGAGACATAATACATACAAGACAAAAATGTTACATGGCTGTATATGAGAGGGCTATCCACATAAGAACAAATTGGTGCTTCAGCGTGAAACTAGTGTAATATTATCATCTAATACAAGATTATAACTTTTTTTTTATTTGTTGATTTGAAAGAAGGCTAAACTCGCTTTTTAAAATTCATTTTGATGTAGAGTAACTACATGTATTTCATTCTATTCGTTACGATGAACAGCCCCTGACATGATTTAATTCCCAGATATTTATTGAATTCTTGAGAAAAAACAACCAATTAAAGATTGCATTTGAAAAATCATTATTAATTAATGTGATTTGTGAACTCTAAGATTTTTTTCTTCAGTGAATGTTTTTGGCAAAGGATGACTGCACTTAACGCCGGGTTTTTGGTCTTTTTCGGTCGCTTCTATTGCTTTTGTATCATAATCTTACTTCATTTTTATATATTTATGAAAGAATCCTGTCAATTTCGAACCGAATTTAAATATTAAAATGATCTTAGACTGTGATACAATAAAATGATTCTATGTTTTCTGCCCTTACTCTTTCCATATATAGAGAATTTACACTTACCTGCCCTTGATTGAACATTAGGTATGCATGAGAGGTGGGGCTAATATTGTAAGAATGGCTCTAAAATTAGACTAGATAAATAACAATGACATGTATTGAAAAAAATAAGAGATCGCTCTTTCACAATCCCTCTTTATTCTGTGTGGCACAAGTACACTATTTTCAGAGGTTTCAAAAACGAAATGAACAATATGAGCGACGTCCATGTAAGTAAAGAATCTTTTAAATCAATGCGTAACAATTTAACGTGTTCGAGCACTTTGTCCTAGTTACCACAAAACATGCTACTTTACAAGTCACGTGACGGAATTTAGTATTCACAGAGTTACCTGAGGTAAGATATCACGTGGTGAATTATAATATTCAACATGTCACAGCCCCTGGTTACAATAGAGAGAGAGCGAATGTAAGAAGAAGCAGTTTTTTCTCGTTTAAACCATGAGCGCATGTTTGTCTATTAATCTCCTTTTGACACAACATTGTTAATGCAAATATACAACTACTGTTAAACGGAGAACAATAGACAAACATGCGCTGACTATGTATAAAGTCAGTGAAAAAGTGGGCGTCCTCATTATCGTACGGAGATTCAAGGAATTGTGATGACCCCCACCTTAGAAAACAGCATCGTACTTCGTAAATACGTACTTTTATTTAATGTAATTACATAAAGTTGTAGATGAGATGTTGACCATTCGTGCAATTAAAAGAAAAATGCTTGTTTTTAAAGTTCATTTTGTCGCAATTTTCGCATGTCCTTAAGTGCAGTCATCCTTTATGAGGGCAGTGCACAGCTCCTTAACTTCGACAATGTTTTTTCTATAACTCCGGAAACCTACGAAAGCCCATTTAAGAATCTATCAAAATTTTTTTTTTTTGAGTTTGATGTAACGATTTGTCAAAACGAATTTACTTCGTTATACCAGATTTTCTAAATTCGTTATGACGAAATTAAAAAAAAAAGTTATAAAGAATAAAGTATTAAAAGGAATTATTAATTATATCGAATTAAATTCGTTTAAAGGAATTCAAATTCATTTTATCGAATTCAAAATTCGTTATAACGATTTCATAAATAAATATTTTACTTCAGGTCCTATATGTCGAATTCGATTACACGTATTTTTTTCGTTCGGAAGTCTATTTAGGGCCTATCAATTTTTTTTTTTTTTTTTTTGGTAATTTCGATATACATGTACAAATAAAAGAAAGGAATTCAATTCCTTATAACAAATTTTAGAATTCTTTCAATCGAAAGAAGTCTCTTTTAACAAAATGTTGAAATCGTTTGAAGAAATTCATCAAATATGTTATATCAAATTTCATTTGTGATTACGAATTCAAAAAAAAAGTGTTATAACAAATCGAATTCGTTTTATAAAATTCGAAAATCCATTATATCAAATTCAGGAATATTTTTCGACAGGTCCTAAATGGGCTTCTGTAAAAAACAATGTTTAGAAGTGAATATTAAATGCAAGGAAGCCTAATTGGGACCTGTCAAAAAATTATATTCGTTCTAATAAATTCGACAACTCGTTATATCGAATTCAAAAAGAAATTTTGATGAGTCCTAAATGGGTTACCGTATAAATTGACTTTGGAAAAAGTGACTTTCTATAGTGGGAAGAACTGAGTATGATGTACCACGCTGTATATTTATATGGTTTTCTGTTAAGTGGGCTCGATGGTCATTTTGAAACTATATATTTAAATAATCCTTGAAAAGAAAAGCAGGAACATGTGTTTTTCTTACTTTTAATTAAAGTCGTTTCCCGCGTGGCGCAATGCTCTAGAGTCGCGGAGTAAGGAGTTGATCCTTACGTCGCGGGTTCGAATCCCACTGCAGGACGTGGAGACTGGTCCTAAGGATGAGACCGTGTAAACCGAGGTCCCGTGTCGCAGTAGGTGCTGGCACGAAAAGGATCCCTCACTGCTCAATGGCCCCGAGTGCCGAGTATAAGTCGAAATTTGTAACTTGTAGGCCTCCATCGAGAAGTGGTGGCGTCTCCATACGAGTGAAAAATTCTCGAGAGGGACTTTAAACAACAAACAAACAAATCTAATTAATCTTCAGCGGAAGACCTTGTTATTCTTAAGTTTCTTTTTCACTGTTTTCATTTTTTTTTCTTTCCGATTTTGTGCACGCGAGTCCTCGGAAACGGCTCGCTAGATTTTTCATAAAACTTTCAGGTTTGATAGAACATCAAAAAATCTATAACTTTTTTAATTTGTTGACGTCACTTCCGGTCCGGAGATTTCCGCAATTTAGAGATTTTTGAGGGTCAGATTGTCCGCAAGTTTTCTATTAAACCACTTTTCACAGAAACCTGAAACTTATATAGATTTGTAGCATGTAGTTCACCTCAACTAGCAGTACCAAACGTCGAAACTTGCTTTAGCCCGAAAAAGGCATATCGATAATTTCAAAATTTCACTTTTTCTACGATATCTCCTGACCTGTAAATATGTGTGAAAAATATAGCACAACAGTAATGCAGAATTACAAGATCTTTCAAACGATTTCATGGATATGGGGCTGGCCCCTAAATTAAGGAGTATAGAGGGGCTAAAAGTTTTTTTTCGGTATCTCAAAAAGTATTGGGAATTTGTAGTACATCAAACAAGCAAAGTTGTTCAAAATCATAAGTAGCAGCTAGTAGGTTTGTCAAAATACGTCGAATGTCGTCACTTTCGGCCAGACAGGAAGTAGTAAAAAATTACTTATTTTCACATATAGTGGCACGGAGTTTAATTTTTAATGACAGGAAGTAGCCATAATTAACTTATTCTGCAGATATTAATATAAAATTTTAATGATTTACGTCATCCAAGACTTCCCACGTAATATTCTGTCGATTGGCGTCACTTTCGGTCCAACCTCAAGTAGTCATAAATTGCTTTTATTTCACGAAATCAGCCTAAATTTTATTCATAAAAAATATACGAACTAAGATCAACATCATATTTGGTCTGAATGCCTTCATCTTAACAAATGTTTACCTTTCTTTACCAGTTTTACATATCGTGATACAGAAAATCGGACGGAATATACTCGTTGCAAAGAAACGAGCTTTGTTCTAGTTATAATTACAGTTGTATGTATTAATCTTAGCTACTTGTAGATAAAACACATTTCATATTTAAGTGGATGTGTTGGGTAACTCGTTGACCACCCAGAATCCTTTAGACTAAGTACCGTGATTTTGTACAGCCATATACTATACAGTATAGCTGTAGGTACAGTAATATACTTTAAAAGTACAGAGAACTTCAGACAGTTTTAGAGAATTTTTAGGTAATTTGTGTGTACACTCCAATATGTTTACTGTCTTTATATGGTCATTTTGAAATCAATGAAATACCTTCGAGGCTGTTGATTTCTTCCACAGCACACCAGCAAGATTAACCACACTCAAAATCTGAACTCGATAGTAATGACCGATGTAGTCAGCTTAATGAGAAACAAAAAAAACATGAGAAGTTTCTTACTTAGTGCTCATGATTTACGCTAGATATTCCCATAGACTGTTAAATTCATAAAATTTTCGTTTTCATTTTGCTTTGGTTTGTTGCTTTGTTTTGTATGTATGTACGAGGTTTGTGGGTTTTTTTCCTCTACGTTTCCAATGGAATTATAGTAATTTTTTTTACAATTGTTTCGTTTCTTTTATCAAGCAAACAATTTTTTTAAAAATTTTTACGTGGTACAATGTACAAGCGATACAATATTCAATCAACATAATTAATTAATTGTAATACTAATGAAGGTGCTTATAGTATATTTGAAAAATTTGCAATAAATAACTCTTAAACAAAAGAAACTTACTTAAATCTCTTCGCTTTCGTCTTGCAACATCATCTGAAGAGAAAATAGCATTACAAAAAAAAAAAATAATTTGTTTGTCTTGTTGCTATCTTTTTTTTCATTTCTTCAGATGAACAACCCAAACTCAGGCACGACTCCTTATATATATAATAAACAGAGGACAATATATTAAGATTACCTTGACAACTCAAAGTTAACACTAACGGATCCAAGTAGCCATCTGTTGGATATTTGGTATTATAAACTGTTATTTGAAGTACAGAGTCTTTGAAAAAGACTGGCAAATCATCTGGCGTTTTCTTTAACACTTTTTTTACGCCTTTAGTTGTTACTGCAATATTCCTCTTTAAATAAGTCGGTAACCCAGTATATCCAAATATACCATTTATTTGACATTCGAGGAAAGATTTTATTTTAAACTCCACGGAAAATGCTTCATTAGTTTCATTAACAAATGCTACCGCCATAGATGATCCATCCGTAAGAATTTCTGGTTCCAACCACGTGTGTGTAGCAGTAAAAACCTAATAGATGTGATAATAAAGTTACATTTGACAAAACAAAATGTTTCTTAAAAAGAAAAGTGCCATGAAAAATTCAAATTGATTTACGTGGTTAATAGGTAAAAAACTGAAGTAAACAATTGTTATAGCAAAACGATTGAAGATTAAGTTTATTTTTATTTTTCAATTGCAGGCACGTTATTTTGAAGGAAATAACACCTGAGACATATCAACAGCCATGTCAACGGGATCATCCAAATCATTAAGGTTGAGACGTTTGCCTTTCTTGTCGGTTACAACCGGTTTAACTATAGATGAAGATGTGGCTTCTGTGTTATTCACGTAGTTATACGGGCTTTTGATGTATGTTAATACCTTTGAGATAGAAAAAAAAAATCTTTTCTATCAACATATTCATTTTGCTTTTCTTTAAACTGGAAAGAAATAAATAACCCTTCCAACTCAATCATCTTTGAGTTGGTAGCAATATACTTTGATGTCTAAATTGACAATATAAAAATGTTTGAGTAATAAAAAGGTTTTCATACGTTAATGGCGACAATCTTATCTCCAAGACTGTCTTGAAAGGTTTCAAAGTAAGGAAGCTTCAGATAACCGTACTTTGTTGTGAAGTCGAATGGCAAATATTTCCCTTTATCTTTAAGAACAGTCAGTGAAAGAATGTCCCTCTTGTCAATGGTCCTCTGTTGACCACGTCCATCATTAGTTTCCAGCCAAAGATTTGTTATTCGTATAAGATTATCCTCTGCCTTTTTTAAAATTGTTTCAAACTGAAAACAGAAAATAATGCAATGATAATATACATGTATATGTTTATTGTTTTACGTCCCGTTTGAGAATTTTTCACTCATATAGAGACGTCACCATATACCGATGAAGGGCTTCAAATTTAGACCTTCACTCGGCACTCAAGGCCATGAGCAGTGAGGGCTCTTTATCGTGCCAACGCCTACCGTGACTTGGGGCCTCGGTTTTTAAGATCTCATCCGAAAGACCCAAAAATTTCACTCCAAAGTACCGAGCGCTCGGTGAAGGAACAGTTGCTACCTATTTTTTATAGACTAAGGTAGGTCGCGGCCGTGATTCGAACACACGACCTTCCGATCACGGAACTCTACCAACTGAACTACCCGTAACGGTGTTTTATACCACGCTAAATTCACAAAAAATGAGCTAAGTATAGTTTGTTGATTAACTAGCTTAATTGACTGTAAACTAAAGGTTACCTACGGTACCGTAAACTACTCGTTAAATTATTTTAATCTAAATTTCAATTCTCTAAATCACATTTAACGTTTCAATCTATGTTTCAATATTTTTTATAAACTTTGGATAAACTAAATTTAACGAATGTTTGTTATGGTTTGCGGATGTAAACTATAGTTTACGGATATTTAAGGCTCCGGATTCAACATATTGTGATAATCATAGTTTTACATTTCAGAAATATCGTTTAATGACAGAATCTCTGATTTTGTGTCGGAGATGCACAATTTTTGGTTCAGGGTTACAACAGTTAACAATAAATAGTTTTGTTCGTAAATGTTAAATTCCGTCGGTTAATCCTAGTTACAGCATAGTAAGATTTTGCTATTTAACAGATTTTTAAACAGTTTGTTAGAAATATATTTTCTGTTTGCGTTCAATGTAAATTTTCTACCGATTTGATTGATTGTATATTGTTTTACGTCCCATTCGAGAATTTTTCACTCATATAGAGACGTCACCATATACCGGTGAAGGGCTTCAAATTTTGACCTTTACTCGGCACTCAGGGCCATTGAGCAGTGAGGGATCTTTATCGTGCCAACGCCTGCCGTGACACGGGGCCTCGGTTTTTAAGGTCTCCTCCGAAGGACCCGCAACTTTCACTTCAAAGTGCCGAGCGCATGGCGAAGGAACAGTTGCTACCTATTTTTTATCGACTTAGGTCTGTCGCGGCCGAGATTCGAACTCACGACCTCCCGATCACGGAGCGAGCGCTCTACCGACTGAGCTACCGTGAACGGTTTCTACCGATTTGAAGCAAAATTAGAAAAAAAAAAATACAAGCAAGCAAACAAACAAAAAAGACGACAATTAACTAAAATTTATTTCTTTTTTTTTTTTCAAAAAAGATAGAGAAAAATGCGGACGCAGTTTGTGATCAAATTTTAAAAGAAATTAATTTTGCTTAAAGGATGCAGGATTAATTTTGTTTTTCTTTATATATATATATATATATATATATATATATATATATATATATATATATATATATATATATATATAACTTACGGCAATTATACAATTTTTGAATTAATTATTAATTCCGCAACAGTGTGAATTGAAAACTATTATTAATTTTTATATGTAACAGGTGTTTGGATTCATAAACTGTACGTAACAACTCGTATATATACCTTAACAAAAATTACTGTAGTTAACTATTATAGTTTATCTATATAGTTTATAGTATAACAATCTAAAATCCATAGTAAAAATACTCTGACTTACTACATTCGGCAAACCTCGGCTGATTCCGTCACCTTCATTCGGCAAACCTCGGCTGATTCCGTCACCTTCATCAAACCTCGGCTGTACGAGGAAGCTTGATATGCGTCTCCGCTTAACATTTGTGATAAGGCTGTCTGTTTACCGCTTAGGGAAAACGTAACGCTTTGAAAACGATAATAAACATGCATCTGATATACGTTGAAATTTTTCAAAAGCATTTAGGTAACACTAAGAATAACACTTACCAAGAAAAAAGGACTTAGTATCTTTACATAATCACATGTTTAATAAAGAATCGATTTCAGCACACTGTGCACGTGTAAATGTAGGGCGCAGCCATATTGCTTATAAAGTAGCTCCGGTTCAATGGACATTTACATGATACAGCCGAGGTTTGATGAGGTACGAATCGGCCGAGGTGTGCCGAGTGTGACTTACTATAGTAAAAAACTTTGATACTAATAAAGTAAACTATAGTTAACTATAGTTAATTATAGTATTTCTTTAACACCCCCGCCCCCCAAAAAAGAAAGAAAAAACCCCTAAATTGTCCAAATCCTGGAAATTGCCAGTGTTCGACCTTTCAGCAATAAAACGTTGGGGCATTAAATGAAAATTTGCAATTAGTGCGGAGTATGGGGGCAACCAGTATCTAAATGAAAATTAACAATGAGCAATATACTACACTCACAAAAAATTAGAGGTACCCCCCCCCCCCCCATCCCCGGCGTTCTACGGGTTTGGTTTGCGACTGTGAGTTACAGCTTATGGTGATAATCTATGACAATGTAAATCATAGTTTTTTTTCTCAAAACTACAGTATACATTTGTTAAATATAGTTTATGAATATAAATTACAGTTACCAACCGTTTACGGCCAAACTCTGTAATATAGTGTTTAACATGGTTTATCTGATAAAAATAGTTTCACGATTTGATTTTATAACAACTTTTAACAATGGTTAACGAATTTTAATTATAGTTTACAAATATGAGAATCTATTTTTACAGCAAAGTCTATTGTTAACGTTTATTTACAGACAAACAAACATTGGCATTCTTGAATAAATTTAAGTATACTTAATTTTTTTATTGTAGTCAATAAATATTTCCCTTGAATGTTAAAGTCCGATATATTGTGGGATTATGCATGCTAATGGTTATTTTTGTTTCATGTCCTAGGAGAGGTTTAGAGATTGACCAATCAAAATCTAACAACTAAAATTACGCAACGCGTCACTCTGCCTTCTCTCACCTACAGCCTTGGATGACAGACGTTTTCTCAAGTTTGTGAATTATTTTGTTAACAGGTATTTAGTGTCAGAGTAAAATTATTTTATCATGTCTTCAATGGGCAAAACTTAAGTTGTCATTCATGGTTACCGATAATGCGTCGGTTTCACGAATTTTTGAAACAAGGTGATGATAGATATTCTGCGAATCATAGTCATAAAAGAACGGATTCCGTTTTGTACAGGGGTGTAGGTGGTATTTTTAGTGATAAGAGGATGATGGAAAGAAATTAGCAATTCAGTGGGTTACTGGGCCATCAAAATACTTAATATTGCATTAATATAAACTATACAATATACTTTACAGGCTATAGAAATAATTGTTTCCCAGATGAAAACAATAGTTAACGAATCGTTTACTGTAGTTTGCGGATCGTAAACCCAGTATATCAAATGTTAAATTAATGTTTATCTACTTTTTTGTGAATTTGGCGTGTCATATATATATATACTGAAAAAATTAAAGCTGCATATACAATATAATAAACATTTATGATGAAAATCGGCGTTGTCTATTTGCTTTACGTCTCTTCCAGAATTGTTCACTCGTACACGCTATTGGGGCGCCAATATTACTGATGTAAGGCTGACAACTTGGAATATGCTCAGCATTTGAAGCCAGTGAGAAACCTTGTTAAAACAAAAAAAAAACTTACTGATAGAGGACTAATGGTACAGTTTTCACTTTGCCCTATAGCACATCCTTTCATTTGTAGAATGGTAATCACGTATGAAAGAGCGTTAGCATAATCTACAAGATATGAGAGAATCTACAATGGTAATCACGTATGAAAGAGCGTTAGCATAATCTACAAGATATGAGAGAATCTGCACAAAATTCTACAATTTTTTGGCATTCAATACTTATTTGTTGATAAAGTTTGTGCATGTTTAAACTAGAGGTACTGTGAGTGAGCTCACAATATTAACACCCGCTGCAATTTTTTAAAAGTGATTAAGTACAATGTACAGTTTTCTAAATGTGACCTTTAACTTGTCAGAATGACTGGTTGAAATAAATAACACATCCTCTGGTCACAATTATCCTTTGAAAGAAATGCAAATGACCAATTTCACCTTTCCTGCCAGAGACCTTGAACTTAAAACAATGACCTTGGGTCAAGATTATGACAAACCTTCAACTCACAAATGTCCTTTTTTCTTTAAGTTTCCGCTTCCAATACATATCCATTAGAGAATAATAAACTTGACACAGGTTTTATACATTTGCAACAGTAACAAAATCAGTTGAAATCATCGAAATGACTATGGTGAAAGTCAAAGCACATCTTTAGGATAATATAATCTTTGCTTGAATAATGATCCTCCTTTGTTTTTCAATTAGCAAGTTAAAATCCGGAAACAAATTTAACAATTTTTTTTTGTCAGCGACTTTGAACTTCCCAAAATGATCTTGGGTCGGATCATGACACACCTTTATCTCACAGGCAATCTTTGAATCAAGTACCAACTTCCAAATTGCCTCGATTTAAAAGTTATGGACAGGGCACAAGTAATTGTTTTTGTTTTTTGTTTTGCCAGTGAGCATGACCTTGCTGGAATGACGGACAACTAGACGGAAATGGTGATTCCTACATATATATCCTCCACACTTTAAAAATTATCACTTTAAAACATGCGACGTCCTTCTTATTACAGTGTACCTTGATTTTCGTTTTTCTAACAGCATATCTGTAGCTCACTGGTCCGAAAGATGCGATGGACGAACAAAGTGCTACAAACAGTGAGCCGGACAATTTGGAATGGATTTTTTTTTTCAATTTCATTCTTACATTAGATAAAGTAGACTGAGTATAATAAATGCTGACGTTTGTCATACTAATTGTTAGGCCATTATTTATACACTGAACTGTCTACGGATTTTTTTCGGTTTTTTTCCCGATCATGACAAGGAGTACACGGCGGGTGTGACCGGTCGGCGGGGGATGCTCACTCCTCCATGGCACATAATCCCTCCTCTAAATTTTGAGGTCCGTGTTTGCTGTGCTCCATATTTCTATCGTTTCCTTGGACTTTCGAGATTGAATACTGTTCATTATCTCTTGGTCAGTATATTTGGAGGAAGGGCAGAGTATGAAAGTGTAAATGTATTCCATGGTTTGTTTCTTAAATTTACTAGAGAAAAAAAATGAATTTACTTAACATTTTTAACAATCAAAGGCAATCAAAATATATAACTATGGATTAAAATTAAGACCAGTATGATTTTCCAAAGAAGTTCCAATCTAAACCTTTGTAAGCGTCCGTTTAGGAACAAATTGGAGCAAAACATGAGTAAAATGAGTTTTATCTTTACATGATTTCTTCAACATATGTGAAAATAAGGGAGAAAAATAATATACGAAGCATCGAAAACTAACTTGTATTCTCTTAACGAGTTAGAAAAATAGAAGACATACAGGTTAGTCGATTTCGATTTTTGTTCAAGTACATGTATTAATGTCAATTTGGTGGTTTCATGTCATAGACTATATGCTTTGAAATCACAAAATTTTACCAATCACTAACATCAAAACGTCTTTTCAACACTTTATGCAACCATTTCCCATGATAAATTAAAGTCCCGGCTTTTTGACATCATAGCTACTTTTTCAATAAAAATCAAAATCGTAAATTTATTTAACTTGTCATTGGTCATTTGCAAAATCATTTTGTTAAATAACATTCTGATTGTACACACAAGTATTCTGAAGTAGATACTAAAAAGATGCTTGAGCTTCTGATTGACAATATCTATTGTGCAATTATCCCCCCCCCCTTTCTGTTTCGAAAAAGACTACATTTGTCTGTAAATAATTGTAATGCCCTCTCCTTTAAATGTACATAATTATATATTACTTACTGGATAGAATATTAGCCTTTTTCATGTTCGGATCTCCACCTTTTTTAAGGGGGGGGGGGGTGTTACAAAGCCCACTCAAAAGAGACAGAGAGAAATATAAGAAAATTGAAAAGCAAACAAGTAGCTCAGTCTTCTCCATCTGAAAGACCCTCTTCTTTCGAGCCCACCCCCACCCCCCGGGGGGGGGGGGGTGATTGTCTCTTCTTTCTGCATAAATTTAATAATCCAGAAAAATCACCCAAAAGGGGGAATCGGACATCCTCTCCATTCAAGATCCGATGGTTTGAATAATGCGTGTTAATTGTATTTTCTGATGCAACAGCGTACCAAAGCACTACCGTCAAAGGTTATACTGAAAATTTACTAGATATTATTTAGGTCTAAATATACATATAGGCTACAAAAATTTAATAAAAAGAAATAGTTTTCGAAAGCTATTCAAAGCTTTTGAAGTACTTATGGAAAAGTTCTTTCATTTAATTAAACTTATGTTTCCTTCGTATAGCTTTCTTTTTGACTTTGTATAGTGATGTTTTTCGAAGACCAGCTCTACTTGGCAGAACACAACAAATTCGAGTTAAGTTGATAAATGTCAATTGTACATGTAGACATTGTGTTCCATATGCTCTTTGGATGTTTTAAATATATTTACTATGCACTATGCCTGTGCAGCCATAAGATTTTTAATTTTCTTTTTCTTGATTGAAAAACAAATTATATTTCAAATAGCAGCCGGTGCATTATATTCGGTTTATAGCCGGTGCCTACATACCAACATTTCTGATAGTAACCGTAACTTAAGAAGATCGTGTTTTGTCCAAAAATCTCTTTCAAAATACACTTTTTTATGAAAAATTATCATATATTCGAATTATTATAGATTGACACATCTTTACATACCAAAATGAACTCAAACTAACCTATAAATGATGAAAAAAGGCATGGAAACTTGGAGTATATTGACTTGCGAATGGGTACATGCTTCGGAAATTTTACTATATTTAAATTTTTAGAAGGTTGTTCTACAAATTGAAAATACATCTGGCATCATTTAAAGAAATCCCTTACTTGTTCTGTGCACAAGGATTTTTCTGAGACTAAATCGATTTTGGGTCACTTTCTGACAATTTTAACTCTTGTTCCAAGTTTTTCCGACATATTTATTTCAGCTAGTAGCCGTAAAATTTACGAATAGAAACAATAAACGCTTTTTTGTTCTGATAGCAACCGTTTAGGTACTACACCGTGAAACACCCGTGTCTCATTGGCACAAGCTCTATTATTTTAAGGAGGCTCTGGGGGTCAACAAATTAACCATTAGATATAACTTAATTTTTTAGATATATCTTAAGCTGTCAACTATCATTTGGCAAAGAAAAATTTCATACATTTAAGTTTTTAAAATTTGATCATTTTTGTGTATCCTTATATGGAGCTCTTCTTCTAAAGGAGATCAAGATAGTCTGAAAATGGCCACAACCACCCAGCCCTCTTAATGTTAACGTTTTTCAGGATGTGTTCGATTCATATCATTTACTATAAACAGACAAATACCAGTTAGTTCTGCTTTCTTGGATTTCTTTCTTTTTATGCCCCTGGATCGAAAGATCTCGGCGGTATATTGTTTTTGTCCTGTCTGTCTGTTGTCAACTTTAACCTAGCCCATAACTATTGCGCTGTCGAGGGTAAGGCTTTAATATTTGACATGAGTGTTCATTATGACAAGATCTTTCCATTGGTACAGAAATTTTTGATCATGTGACCTCAACTGTGACCAAAAACTTTAACATTGGCAATAACTATTGCACTGTAGTCTATGTCCCACTCCAGAATTGTGTTACCATCGGGGGCATAATGTTTCACAAACACATCTTGTTTTTTATGCCCCCGTATCGAAGATTCGGGGTATATAGTTTTTGCCCTGTCCGTCCGCCTGTGTTTGTCTATTTGTTTGTCCGCAAAAACTTTTAACATTTCCCATAACTTTTGATTGGTTGGAGCTATGGCTTTCATATTTCACATGTGTATTCCTTGTGACAAGACTTTTGTGTAGGTACCACCATATTTGACCTTTTGACCTTGGAGTTTGACCTAATTTTGAAGAACTTTAACATTGGCCATAACATTTGAACGGCTGGTGCTAGGGCTTTCATACTTTAAATATAATCCTTGTGACAAGACCATCCTTTGGATTCCATTAACTTGGATCCTTTGACCTTGACCTTGGAATTTGACCTACTTTTGAAAAACTCTAACTTTGGCCATAACTTTTGAATCACTTAAGCTAGGGCTTTCATACTTCACATATGTAATCCTTGTGAAAAGACCTTTCTTTAGAAATCAACAACTTTGACCATGACCTTGGAGTTTGACTTCCTTTTGGAAAACTTTAACCTTGGCCATAACTTTTGAACCGTTGGTGCTAGGACTTTCATACTTCACATATATAATCCTTGTGACAAGACCTTCCTTTGGATACCAACAACTTTGACCTTGACCTACTTTTCGAAAACTTGAACCTTGGACACAACTTCTGAAAAGTTGTTGCTAGGGCTTTCATATTTAATATGTTTTTTTCCTTGTGACAAGACCTTCCTTTGGATACCAACAATTGTAATCCATTGACCTTGACCTTGGAGTTTGACCTACTTTTGAAATACTTTAACCTTGATCATAACTTTTGAACGATTAATGCTTCAGCTTTCATATTTCACCTGTATATTTCTTGTGAGAAGGCCTTTCCTTAGGCACCATTAATTTTGACCATTTGACCTTGATGTTTGAATTACTTTTGAAAAACTTAAACCTTTTCCATATCTATTCAATGGTTGCTGCTAGGGGCTTTCATATTTCACAGGTATATTCCTCGAGACAAGACCTTACTTTGGGTACCAACATATTTGATTTGCGTTTGAGAAAGTTGAACCTTTGCCATAAGGGGGCATCAGTGTTTCACAAACACATCTTGTTTTCTGTTTTTTTTTTAACTTTTCTTAATTTTAATATTAAATATCTTATTACATGTAATACACCTCAGGTCCCTTGACCATAAACAAACAAAAAATAAATAAATAATTTTAGTTCACCTGGGAGGCTGAGTCAAAGGCTCAAAATTTGTCTTTTGTCGTCCTTGTTGTCATTAACTTTTTCACATTTTCATATTCTCCAGATCCAGTGGACCAATTTTCACCAAAGTTGCAACAAAGCATCCTTGATAAAGGATATTCAAGCTTGCTTAAATGAAGGGCCATGCCCTCTTTAAAGGGGAAATAATAAAGAACAATATGTGTAAATTAAATGGCATCTTTCAAAAACTTATCAAAAAACATAGTGTAGATTCAAATTTGTTCAGGTTACTAGGGCCACAATAGGGGATACGTTATACACAGGTACATAAACTAAATATCTTTATAAATCTTCTTCTCAAGAACAATATAGCCATGATTAGTAATATTAATCAAGAAGCATCCTCAGATTGTATAGGTTCAAGTTCAAATCATGACCTCTGGGATAGGGTGTGGATACAACAGGTGATCAAAGTTTTACAAAGGAATATATGGAAGATATCCAAAATAAAATCAACATTTCAAGAACATCTCAGCCATGATTAGTAATATTAATAAAGAAAAATTCTCTGGTCATGTAAATTCAAATTTGTTCCAATCATGACCCCTGGGATTAGGACGGGGCAACATCAGGTAATCAATTGGAATATAGGTACCTATAAATCTTTAGAATTTTTTTTTCTCATGAACAGCAAAGCAAAGATTAGTGAATTAATATGAAACAAGTTTGCACAAATCATCAGTTATGCAAATGTTAGGGACACTTAATATATATATAATTATGAACTTGTTAGTGCTGATTTATTGATATTTCGATTATACCTAAAATACGGACATTGCAGGAATTCTTTGACTTCTGATTTTTGAATATTTTATTGATTTGATCAATTTAAAATGTTCACAAAGTCTTTTCAAATTTACCTTTTTTTGAATATTGAGGTTATATTTTTAGTCCAGGAAAGTGCAGGGATAACAGGTACTTGGTTTGTATATGGGATCAACCCCCCTTTTCTTTTCACTACAAATGTACCTAGCTCAATTTCAGACACCCCCTCTTAATTAAAGCTCATATTTTATTAATTTATCAATCATTACCGTCTTCCTTGGAAGAGGGTACACAGAGTTAAAATATTTTACAGTCTTCGAACTATGCACTTCCTCTCTTTTGTTCCTGGTAGAAATTACATGATGTGAAAATTTTTCAATTATTTCATTGGTTTAAATGCTGATCAAGGCAAGGGAGATAATTTTCTAGAGATCTAATTTTCGTACGACTTAACAACTTTCCAAGATTTTCAATCTTAAAAAATTGACAAAACTATCAGTCGAAAATGGCAATAAATAATCTAAATAGCACTTTATTTTTTATAGCAATAACTAAAACGCTTTTCTATATTTTTATTGTTAACAGAAATTTCATTGTCGCTTGCCAGCTTGTACTTATTCTTTTTCTTGGATTTGCACTGTCTTTCTAATCTCTGACATTCTGCTCTCTCCGTAAAATCCGACCAGCAGCAGAATCGGAGTTTATGGAGAAAGTCGAGTTTCACATGATAAGGCTAATACTGGACTTTTGCGAGGAGCGCTGACTTTTATAGTTGACGGCTTACTTTTACACTAGGACAATGTACGATATAAATATTTAGCTCAACATTTAATTAAACGAAAATAACGGGTTATTTCAAAGCACAAATAATTGCCCTTGAAGAAAACGACAACCACCCTACCCTTAACTTCCGGCCTTCACATGTTAGTGCCCCTAACGCCATACCTATGACCACTAGAAATATTTTCCCATCTATTGTCAATTCTGTACCTCCATACATGATACAGGTTTAAATGTCAAAGTAAACAGTCAACTGTAAAAGTCAGTGCTTCTCGCAAAAGTCCTTTAGTAAAAAGTTGATGAAGACATACAAAGATATGCACAAGAATAATACGGCCTGATAGGTGCATTGCAGTTTACTGTTTAAGGTTGTATCTAAAGATGACCAAACTTTTTGAAAAAGCTCTACTTGTTTGGTAAACCTACTTGAACATGACATACTGTATAATTCGCTTCAAGACACTTCTTTTCAATGAATTGTTCCATATCTTCTTCATAAAACCTTTTTTTGTAATCCACTCATTTTTTCCTAGAAAATTACCTCTATAATACATTTTAAGACTTCTAATATAAGAAGATAACCAACTTTCGATTAGAGTCATAGTTTACGGTAAAACCAGAGACTTCTGACTTTTCATTCTTGCAAGATGTATGAAAAAGCTGAAGATTACAAACAGTGAGCGATCTATTTTTTAAAAAACCTACAAAGAATACATTACTGTGGACAGGATATGAAACACGGACCCCCAGAAAATTCGGTTGGGATATGATATGATACCTAGGAGTAGTAAGCATACCCCGTCGACTGGTCACACCCACCGTGAGCCCTAATATATTGATCAGGTAGACGGAATATTACATTGTAGTATAAAAACAAAGCTAAACTGACCCAATCCAGTTATACAGTATAACTTGGATAGATATTTAATTTATTCCTTCAATAAATAAGAAACGTTGACAATAATGCTGAAGTTATCTCGTTTGTCATACAATTTAGTTGTTAGTTTGCCCTTATCGTCTGTAGTCAGTAAAATATCAAAATCTGAAACAAATACGGCGGATGTCTTTTATTTTGAGTTCACTGGGATAAACTGAGTCGACATATTGACATTTGATAAAATCGATACATCTGAAAGTCGAGTTGAAGGCCACAGAAAGTGTTTTCTTTTTCTCGTGTATAAGTTTTTTTGAATAAATTCTGCTTTAAATGGATATAAAAACTGGGAATAAAGAAACACATTTAGTTAGTGTCCATCAGAATTCTAAAGACTTTATATAGATGTTGTGAATGACAATCACGCCCAAAATTCGTAGTTTTTGTAATTTTCAGTCAGAGGAAGTTTCCTAAAAGGGTTCTTTTAAATAATAAATCGATCTGAAATGCTCTTGCAACATGTTATACTTAATTACGGAGATAACGAACAGTATTCAAGGTTTTTACTGAAAAATTCGAAGATTATAAACTTCAAAACTATGTCAATGTCCAATTGAGTTTGTTTTAGGAGTCATCAGAAATGGTACTTTAAAATAGGAACATTTTTGTTTTCCTTAATTTCAGACCCAGGAGATCTAGAGGTATTGAAAACAGTTGTAGGTAATGTTTTGTTGTCGAACATATTACGCTCAAATCATGTTAGGCTGGAGTGTGCAATAAATAAATACATGTACTTTTTGAATGCACACAGCTGTATCTATCGGATCGTCCATCCAAATTTTTCCACATTGATCAGTGTGCTACGCTTACAGATCTGCGACTTATATTTTAAAAAATGAACTTAATATACGTTTTGCTGTTAAAATTTCAAAAAAAGTTGAAATCAATATAACTCGTGTCTTAAATGGATTTCTATAAAATGTTCTTTACCATCTACAAACGGGAAAAGGTCGTCATTTTCTTTCATTTCCTTTTCTACACCTGTGGCAACTAAATCCAGAACATTATTTAGAGAAACCTAAACAAAAAATATTGAATTATGTGCATTCAATTTCTACAATTATTTATAAATGAAAAACCTTTTAAAGAAATACTTACAGAATATTTGTATTTGCACCAACATTTTTACTGAATGTCAATGAATAGTACATTGCATTTCAGATTTTCCAATAGTGAAGAAAACTATCCAATATATGTAAATACCATTTGGTATTTGAGTCGAGACGATGTTTTAAAATAAAATACATTACCATTAATTGATTTTTAGGCCAATCCTCTAAAAATGCTCGAAACTCACCACTGAAAGACTTAATTCAAAGTGATGCTTTAAATGGTCCTCAATCATGGCTACAGCACCCTTTGCATATTCCAAAGCCTCGGTTATTGTAAATTTTGCATCGTAAACTACTTTAATTTCCCATATATCTGTCAATTTGTCTACAATGAAAAAGTACAAGACAATATTATCCCTAAATATTATATTTTGTAAACAATTTCATATAGATAATGATCATAATTTAAAGCGTCAACATGCAATTGAGCAAGTACGAGCCAAGTAATTAAAGTATAAATGTCAGTTAGTCTGTAAGCTTGTCTGTTAGTATGTCAATCTAGCACTATTAATTTTTCTTCAAACGACACTCGATCTATGTCTACTTAGGGTCATACAAAAACTTGAAACAAAATGTGTAGGAATTAGCAGAGAGAGAGGGAGAGGGGGGATTTCGTTCCAAGTTCATGAATAATATTAAATTGAAATAATAATTCTATAGATAAAATGAAAACTTGAATCAATTTTCTTTATAGTATAGAAAATATCTTTTCTCTTTTTGTATAAAAGATATTTTTAAGTCGATACTCTTGATGCATGTCTCTCCGGTGAATCCGATAGTACATATGCATTCGGATGTCCATGAGTCTCCCGAAACTGTTACTTTACATTCACCATCATGCTGACAGTAGTCTAGACACACTGAGTCTTCATTACAACTACTTCCGGAACAAGATTTACATGACACTCTTCGACCTCAAAAGAAAATTTAAATCCACTTTAACATTGTTTCTCAATGCAATTCTGCCTGAAGGTCAAAGGATTCCCAAAATCCGGAGAAAGTAGGGTATTAATTTTATCAAAATATCTTGTTTTTCTTTGTTTTTAGATTTGGCTGTATTTCTTGCATAATAAGATATTGTAGAATTAAATTGATTTTTTTTTTGTCAGACAATTTTTTTTTTCATGTTTCTGCACTGAATTTCAGTGCAAATAGAACATATTTATAAATAACTTTAAAGACTGAAAAAATAAGGCTGGTTTGATAGGAAAACTTTGTAATAAGTATGTATTTTAGCTTAATTGTACAAACTGATTCAAAAATTTCTATAAACATATTTTTTAGTATCCTATGCCCTTAATACAATCTACATGTTACGATAAAACCCGAAATGCAATGATTTTATTGTAAAAAGTCAATTATTGTCGAACTATTCTCAACCACCAAGGTGCAAAAGAAATGAATTAATTCTAAAATCGAATTAAATAGAATGGATATATGCTTCTGACAAAATATCATTTTGTTGATGTATGTTTTACACATACGAACATGTATTTTGTTAGACTTGATTTGTTCTTTTTATGTTTTTTTAAAGTCTTTATGATTAATATACACCTGTAGCAACCTCGTTTAAAAAAAAAGAAAATTCAGTCAGGAAATTTTATTTAACATAGTTATGCATCAACAACAACTATATAAACTAGATTTTTCTACATCACAAAAGTTATAATTCTTTTCAATGTTGGACTTTTAATAATTTCCAATAGAATGTTACCTAAGTGTGTAATGAAAAATACATATATGGTAAGCCGCATCACAAGAGTCAACTGTCGAGTAATCTACAAAAAGTAGAGAAAACTTTTACATTTTTCATGTGAATCCTCATTTTATAACAAAATTTTTACATACTAATTTATGAAATGTCGGGTCAATTTCTTTGGGCAATTAAAAAAAAAACATAATTGTAGTCTCTTTTCTAATTTTAGTTTAGTACAGGTCAAAATAAAGATGGACAGCTTTACTTACTAATCATATGATAGTACTACAGTGGATGGTGGAAAATAAAAGGATATATTTATTCATTAAAAATATATAACAAATTAAATATATATATATATATATATATATATATATATATATATATATATAACTATAACTATAACTATAACTTTAGTGAAACATACCGCCATTTTTAAGTCCTTTCAATAGCGTCTTTTTTCCTGAACTAATATCTGGAATAATTTTTTTATCAGATGAAAGTAGTCCAGGGCTCCCTAAAACTGTCAGAATATAATGAAATTTTAATTTTTAATGACCCCTTAATGAAATAGGTGTTTGAATGAACTTTTTAACTTAAAATCGCATTAAAAGATCATAACTTCATGTTACCGGGAACTAAACTTACAATATCAGTTCACCGAATGCCAATACAAAAATCTATGTTTATCGCACCAATTTGTTCCATTGTTTTTATTGATGTATGCAGTTCGTTCTTTACATCAATGCACATCATTATTCAATGACTAAGGTGGTTATTCATGAGTGCTTCTACACCTTTATATAGCCATTATATGTATTCATAACTATGATTTTCTCATTTCTTGTTCTTAAAATAGATTAACAGAAAGAGTATTGCTGCTGATAATTCCTTTTTATATTTTTACTAGAAAGACGGGGAAAATATGTATCCCTTATGCTAATAATTTCATTTCTCGTGCAATTTTGATTGACCATATTGTTTGAAGAACAGGGCCAATTTTTTATCGAAATACAGTATTTAGCAGCAAGGTCATATATTGATTATCATGTATAGGAAATTACTTGTTATTTTAAGATTTTAAATCTTAACAGTGCAAGACTTACATGTTGCATTCGTTTTAATCCCACGAATTCATGCAATGAAATTCAAGAGAAAACTCAAAAACTTGTGTCTTAGACAGCTTTTTAATGCGTAGTATTGTGAAATTAAAAACGAGAGGGTGACACTCTGTCTAGGTCTTTAATTGTATGTGAAAAATCTATATTTTGAAAATCTTTATTAAAACATGATTTCGCTCGGTCAATCTTATAAAAACCTTTCTGTCACCAATCGTTGACAACAGATACGTATTACCATCTTGTTCCACATGGCTGGTAAAAGTTTAATTAGCTTCTATAAATATATCAGGTTCCCTTTAGTTTAATTTTCTGAACAAAAGGAAAAATCAGACATATTTCCTTCACAATACTTAAAATTTAATGTGCTTAAGGTAGTATGGGATACCTCCACGTTATGACGTATTTCCGTTTGAAGTATTGTTTTGATTTGCATGAGTGCTTATTATCGGGTCAAAATTTGTAGATACACCGTTGAAAAGAACACTCTGAAGTCTATTTCAATGCAAGTTCTCACAAGTCGGCATTTTAAGTAAAAACAGACCAAAAAAATCGCAAGTATATAAATTTACTTATAATTGTACAACGGACATTTAAAAAAGCAAACCCCTGTAAAAGGTAGTTTCAGCATTGCTGCTTTTGAACACTTTTAAGCAAAAGCTGTATTTCAATTGTTTGAGTAACTGTACAGCACCTTGTGTGCGGTGAGGCATGGATAAGTGCGATTACTTCACATTGTGCTGAATTATCACCATTCAATTATCACGTTAACCAGAGCTGGACTTTTTTGTTATTTAATTCAAGAAGTAACTGTTTGGTCACAAATCAGCTAGCTGTTGTATATAGTCCCAAAACGTTCAGATGAATGCAATTGCTCTGAACAAGACACGTCCTGGAAAGCGATTGTCCATGCATTGTTTTCAAAACCGCTCAAAGTTGAAAACTACAAAGTGCGATTTGTTTATGGTTGGGAAAAAATGCTCATCATTTCTAAAATAGCACCCAGGTTTTTTCAACCCTTGGAAAATAAAGAAGGATAACTCTTCCGCTCGGATCTTTTAATTCAAAAAAATTTAAATGCATTTTATATTTTCCATTAATATATATTTTTTCAATTTGTTTATTTCACTTTGCTAACATATTAAGATACATTCTTATTGTAGACTTTCATGAAATGTTATCCGTCTGTTTTCAAGAAATAAAGTTTTCCCAGTTTTTTACGCTTATTTTTTGTTGAAAATTAAAAAATTACTAAGACATATTTCTTGTCATTTTTGTTTTTATAAACACTTTATATTAGCAAACACCTGCCTATAATATTAAGCTTATGAAAAAAGGATTATGCAAGAAAAAAAATCGTTTTTGTATTTCTCATTAAAATAATAAAAAAATTATTAAAATTACACTTTAATATACTGAAAGGTGGGGGTATTTCAAATCCTTCTAATTTGGGTACATAAATATGTAGGAGAAGTTTCGTTTGGTATCCCATACCACCTTAACCCAAAAGTGTCATTGGAACCAAATAATTGAAATGTTCATGAAAATTTAATTTCTCTTCGGTAAAACTCACCTCGTCAAAGCATTTGCTTAATATACAGACAAGCCCAAGTTAATATTTTTTGCGAATGAGAATCATAACACAGATTGAAGTTTATACATGTATCAGCGATCAGTTAGATGAAAAAGTGAAGATAACAAACTTTGATCAATCTTGAAAATCTGACAAACAATAAATCGAGAAATACAATTGGGAAAAGGGCAAAAACATGCATATTAATCTCTGCAATAAAATTAAGATAACAAACATCGACCAATCCACGAAAAAAAATGTGCGCGCGGCACGGGAAAATGTCCATTTTTGACCGAGATGAACAGCGATTCTCTTAATTACTGGATGCAGTGATTTGTGTTGGAATTAGAAACCTTCACTATGTTAATATGTTTTTATTTTGCTTATAAAGTCAGCTACTTTGTTTATATTCTTTTTCTTTATCAATGTAAGATCAAGGGTCATTGGAATTGTTGCATCTTTCCCTGGCGTGTTCTATCTTGGTAGAGCATGGTTGTTAGAGCACAGTTT